AGAATAGACTTCGACTTAGTTTACTAAATTAAAGAAATCTTTATAGTGAGTCATTAAGATAACAAGATAATTAATCTGAAAATTACTGATTGATATTATTTGAATTATATTTACAATTGCTTTTAATTATTATTATTATTATTAATATTTTTTATTCCTTTTATAAAATAAGTTCCAAACTAAATAATATTTTTTAATAAATAATAGAAAGTATAATCAATGAATCTATAAAATCAATTTGAAGTTTCAGAACTTTTAACTTTTTTTAAGAAACTTATTTCCAATCTTTCATCTATTTCTTCTGATAAAATATTTCTTTCTATTTCTTAGATGAAGAAATTCTCTTTGTATTGTTCTTGAAATTTTAATTTATTAGTCATAAAAATTCTTAATCTAATTATGTATAAACCTTAATTTAATAGCAATTTAATCCCTGAATGTGGATCCATCTAATTATTGATTAAACAATCGAATAGTTAAATTAAATATATTATTAATTAATGTTTATATGTAATTAATTAATAAATAGATCTATCTGAAAAAACAATCTATATTCTTTATTTAGAGATTATAAAATATCTACTACTAAATTTTTAAAGAATGTCAACTAAATTTATTGAAGTAATTTCTTTGTTATTATAAAGAAACATTGAAAATACACCCAATAAAAAGTGTCTTTAGTGTTAATACTTTATTTGAGTCTTTTTAATTTGAAATATTTTTTGACGAAGATTCGTTTATTTTGGAATATAACTTTATGTTAACAATTTGAGTTTCTCCAATATAATAAGATAATTAACTTAATCTAATCCAATAGAACATACTCTAATATCAAATTTATGACTCTTATTTTTATATACTAAATCAAAGTCTAAGTTTTCATTTCTTTTATCAAATAAATAAATTTCTAAATTATTATTTTCTACTTTGCACTTTCTTAAAAAATTCCTAAAATTACACCCACAACAATCATCTTAATTATAATAAGGAAAGAATTCATGATTATATGATCTATTGACTTAAAATGACATATTTTTATCTTTATAAGTAAATAAATAATAAGGTTTCTTTACTATTATTGGTAATGACTCTTCCCATCTTACTTCTCTCATGTTAAGTAAAAATTATCTTCTAGAATTCCAATCACAAATATATAATGTTAATACTAAAAATACATTTGTTATAAGTCCCAAAATTATTCCTAACATATCTATTCGATGACTCTTAATTGTTGTAAAACAGATTTTCATACTCAAATGAATAATTACCTAAAAAAGACTGTATGGAAAATCACTCATAAAATAAACAACTACTGATAGCATGGCATAATAACTTCCATATGAATAATATTCTTAAGGAAAAGTGTTATTTTCATCAAAATTAATTTATAGTAATCCTGCTGAAAGGTTTGAAACAATTAATGCATACTTTATATATTACTTCTTATAACACACTAAAATTAGTTCAACAATGACTAGTAATACAAAGCCTAAATTCATCCAACTTTTATTATTTACTGAATAATAGGTATAGTCTAAAATCATTTTAAATAAATTTAAAGCAAATGACATTGCAAGAAGCCAATAGAAAATAGGTTTTTGTAGAGTATTTAATTTATTATCTTAATAGTCCTTTTCTATATTTTTGTCTTTGAAAGTTAAAAGGAATTTATTCATTTATTTATTAATTTATAATTTTATTGAATATTCAAGATTATAAAAGATGTTGTAATTTCGAAAAAAAATATATATATATATTATATATATATCAACATCTAAATTATTCAAATATTAATGTCTAAAATTTACAAAATCTCTTAACATGTATTTTTCACTAAATTGAAGGAAACTGTAAATTATGCAATACCTTCATTACCTAAATCTGTTGGTTCAAGCTTATAATCTAATTAAAATTAAAATTAATAATTTACTTTTCATTGTACATATAGCTGGATCAGTAAAACAACACTTTACACCTTAAATATCACAAATCAAATAATTAAAATTACTCTTAACAAAAGTATATGCAGAAAAACTATTACCAATTTTATTTAAATCACTTTAATCTTAATTTACATAACCATAATTATTATTATATTTAACAAATTCTCCTTCAAAAAATCTCTCAGCAATCCAATAATTTCCTATTTTTAATATATTATTTACCTTAAGCATCCAAAAATATTAGAAGATCTGAATATATTACTTAAGGATATCTTTTTTTTATTTCTTTTTATTTTATACCCTCATCTAAATCACGATTGAATTTCTTCATCCATTTTTATGCTATTAAATGTACTAAACATTCCTATACAGCCATTTAAAATGTCTTAAATGGCTTTTAATCTAAAGGAGTTTTGCAAACATAAAATTCTTTTTATTTTGAAGCATTTTAACTTTATTTAATCATTAAATAAGCTGATTTCATTGCTCCTTTTGCAAATGGAGCTTTTGATCTTAGACATGACCATTAACCTTCTTCAATTTACTTGAAATCATCAACTCCTATAGTCTAGATTTCTAAATATTTCTCATTAAATTTTTAATCACTAAATTCTATTCTAAATACTCTAAAAGTTTCACTAACAAAATCATTTAAATTTGGTTATTTTTCTAATAATAATTTGCAAAGCATTTCAATAGGACTTTATGGTACCTGATTTTCTTTAGTAGCAGCCTCTATACTTATTTTACCGCGAGTTTATACTTTAGTGTTTCTGACATTAGTTTAAGTGGCTGTTTAGGATACTTTTGTCAAAACACCTACAAGTGATTCAAAAATCTTATCAGGTTATGCATTCCTTAAATCATATAAGAAGAAATATTCTTGTTTATTATGTCTTTAATAGATTTTTCTAATCTCTTCAAACATTTTATTTGTAATAGAAGTAAAGATTATTCCAATAAAGAATATGTCATTCTAAATCATTAATTCAATAGCTTGAGTCAAATCATCATCAGGATAATGATCTTAGTTTCTTCCAAAATCATGAAAGTTTGTTCCATGACATGGAGCATCACAAATTAACATGGCAATTTTAAATTTAGTTTTCCATTAAAGATTATTAATCATTTGCTTTATAGCTCCATCTAAATCTTCTGGAGCATCACCTCCTCCTGTACATCTAGTTCTTTATAAAAATTCTGTGACTTATTAAGTTTGATCAGTAAACTACAATTATTTATAAATTCCTAATTATTTTAATTCAGCTTTATCCTAATAACAAATAAGGGACCATAATGTGTCTCTTTAAGTTTAATTTTTGACTGAGATCATACTTTTTTCAACACATAACTCTGCCTGTTTTTTATAAGGATCCATAGATCTATAAATTATGAATAATATTATTACCCTGTACAATCAATTAAAAAACATATTTCAAGTTATCCATGACTATCTCTAAACCTTTATTATAATTCCTTAAGTTATTTGGCTCTTGTTTATTTATTAGATTCTAATAAATCAGCTTATTCTTTCTTTTTTTGGTTCAATAGTATTTTAGAATTTGTTTTCTCTTATTATTTTGACTCAATAGAATTATCTTTTATCTATTTAATTAACTTATGATCTTCATCTTATAATTTTTAATAAACATTTGGTAATTCCAATTTACTTTAATGAAGTATTTACTCCTATTATACTATTATTTTAGATTTTCCTTAAAGACTGTTTTCTTATTTACTCATTTCTAATTTATATTGCTAAATATCTTCTTAACTAATTTTGATTTTTTTATCAATTTTTCTTTTTTATTCCCTCATCATACTAATTGTTTAATCTTTAGAAAAAAGGTTTTATTTAAGTATTTTTTTTTTGTCTTCTTTTTCCTTCAGTTGTTATTGGCTCTATTGAATTTGCTAATCGAAATCTAATAATTCTTTCTTTAAAGATTCAAATTTATCTATTAATTCTACATCTTTCTACTAAAGTGATATCCTACTTAACTATTATTCTAATGCTTTATTTTCTTTTTCCAATTGATTTATATTTTCATATTACATTTCTAAATTCTTTGCTTAAATTTCATTTGCCTAATTATTATTTTAATTCAACTATTCTTATATTAAATATTTGTCTTATTTTTATTTTATTTCAAACTAAAGATTTTATTTTTCCTTTTTTGATAATTTAATATTTTTGTTTAACTGGGTTCTTTCGTTTTCTTTTTAATAATTTTATTAAAACAATTAATCTTCAAACTTTTTATTACTTTTATTAATTTATTGTAATTCTAATTCCAAATTCTCGATTTATGTATTTAAATCATTTACTTCAACTTGAACATCAGTCAAAGTTTATTAGAATTAAGAAATCTCTTTTTATTTCTCATCAATTTTTGTTTAATAATTTTCTTAAATTATTATATTAATATACTTATTTCTATGTCAATAGTTTATATAGGTTAGATTTAAAGAGGAAGATTAACTAATATACATAGAAATAATTCTTACCATTGTTTATAAATTGTTATTGCTGAAATTATTAAATAAACTAAGGTTACCCACCACCTTACTAAAATTAAGGTTCTTTATTAATTACAAGTTGAGCTTAAGGATGTGTCTATTAATATGCTAGTTTATTAAATTACAATATTGATTTCACCCCGAGGTTATATGAAATTGGGTTATGGGGTCTAATTACCTTAATTGGGTTAAAAGCCTTAAGATGGTCTGAATTATGAATTTTGTTTATCCATTCAAATCTAATGAATGAAGTATAATCTTATTTTTATTAATATATTTCTTTACTTTGATAGAATTAAAAATAGGATTATTATAATTAATATATTTCATAAAATTTAAAATAAATATATGGATTTATACTTATAAATTATAGGGCAATCACATATCTATTAAATTTAAGACTATTATAACTAGGTACTTAATAAACACTTTCCTTTAATATAAAAGAAAGAGAATTGAATTATAAATATATATTGAAATTTGTATAATTTTTGGTTTAAAAAAATGAAGAATAAATATAAATAAATATTATTTTTTATGGAAGCTATTACACAACTCAAAAAATTTATGTATGTCATTTCATATTATAAATGCAAGTGGTCATCATTTTAATGTAAAAAGCTTTCACAAGTATATGATCGACAATGACATCTCAGATATTCAAACATTGATCAAATTTTGTTAATTGGACAATACTGGATAGAGATTCAATTTATGGAGATTGTTTTTTAAGTATTATATAATAACAACATAGAATCTACTCTTTAGAAGATACAGTCTATGAAAAGATAGGTAAGTTAACAAAAACAAGAGATACATATAAATAATTAGAACAAAAGTATTCAAGATCTTAAGATGTGATATCAACAACTAAAATTGAAGAATAATCTAAAAAAGGACCATTAGGTGGTCCATTAGGAGGACCATTAGGTGGTGGATCTAAAATAAAGACAGCAACATAAAATCCAATGGAAGATGCTGAATTAAGAAATGAAATAAGAAAGGATGTTGAAAGAACATATTAAGAAATTTAATTTTTTGCTAATAAAAAAATATTGCAAATTCTGACTAGTGTCTTATTTATATGGAGCAAAGAAAACAGTGAAATTTCATATAGATAAGGTATGAATGAAGTTGCAGCTTCTTTGATTCATGTTTATTTTCAAGAAGCTCTTTATTCAGATGAGATTGATAAGATACAAGGGGTATGAATTTATATATAATGAAGGCAACAGAGGAAGATAAACAAATATTACTAGAATTTAATTCATGGGAATATGCTGAGGCTGATATATACACACTATTTTAGAAGTTAATGAATGATGCATAACATATGGAAATGTTCAGACCAAATTATACTGAGGCTTAAAAGATCAAATTATAAAGTAAGAAGCCAAGTGCCATTTTAACAAGAGTATCCAAAATATAAGATATTCTATTAAAATAAGTTGAGATGCCTTTATTTAGACATCTTAAATTGTTATAAGTAGAATTCCAAATATTTTTATTAAAATGGATTAGGTATTAAAATATAATAAATTAAAATAGATGTATGTTTACAAGAGAATTACATTTAATAGAATCATTTAAAGCATGGGATGCAATTTTCTATGATTTTTATGAATAAAAAACAGAAACTTTGTTCTTTGTTGATTGTATAGCAATTGCAATGATATTATATGTTAAATAGCCAAGTAATTATTATATTTATATAATAGTAATGGAAATGGAAGATTCAAGTTAATGTTATTAAAGATTTCTAAAATATCCACCAGTTTCTAATTTACCAGCTCTTCTTGAGTCTGCAATCAATATTAGAGCTATCTTATTGAATCAAAAGTCTGCAACTAATTTAGATGATCAAATTGAATCAAATTAACCATCTATATATTCAGATAAACAATTCAATCCTGTTTTTTTTGCATAAACTACAGATAAAGTCGATGGAGTAGATGCTAAGGTTGTAAAGATTACATCTGAAAAACCATAATTTAGAATGAAAGGTGATGTAGATCTAGTCTACAAAGATGAAACCTCTCCAGATAAATCAAATTAATCTTAGTAATAATTTATAAATCCATTACAACCAAAATAAATATCTCAGCAATAAAAGCCATAACAATACTAATAATAATAATAATAATAATAATAATAATAATAATAATAATAATAATAATAATAATAATAATAATAATAATAATAATAATAATAATAATAATAATAATAATAATAATAATAATAATAATAATAATAATAATAATAATAATAATAATAATAATAATAATAATAATAATAATAATAATAATAATAATAATAATAATAATAATAATAATAATAATAATAATAATAATAATAATAATAATAATAATAATAATAATAATAATAATAATAATAATAATAATAATAATAATAATAATAATAATAATAATAATAATAATAATAATAATAATAATAATAATAATAATAATAATAATAATAATAATAATAATAATAATAATAATAATAATAATAATAATAATAATAATAATAATAATAATAATAATAATAATAATAATAATAATAATAATAATAATAATAATAATAATAATAATAATAATAATAATAATAATAATAATAATAATAATAATAATAATAATAATAATAATAATAATAATAATAATAATAATAATAATAATAATAATAATAATAATAATAATAATAATAATAATAATAATAATAATAATAATAATAATAATAATAATAATAATAATAATAATAATAATAATAATAATAATAATAATAATAATAATAATAATAATAATAATAATAATAATAATAATAATAATAATAATAATAATAATAATAATAATAATAACAATAATAATAATAACAATAGTAATAATAACCAACATCTTAAACAATTTAAAGTAGTAATTCATCTTCAATTACTACAAATTTCTTCGATTCTAGTTTATCTAGTACGAATACTAAAACAATTAAAACATAATTTTAAGTAGAAGAATAAACATAATAAGTAAAAAAAGATAAAGCATCAATTCCAATGAAGAATAATATTTAGATTCCAATTTAATAGGCTGAAGAGATGTTTAACACTTTAGAAGATGCTCTAAAGTTCATGAAATAATTTAAAGATCAGTATCATTATATTATTATTATAGTTCAAACTATTAGGATTTAATAAGGAATTTGACAGAAATGAAAGACATTTTTGAAACTTCGCTTAAGTAATATTGTAAATTAATATTTTAGTGAGAATTAATTAACTTAAAGATAATAATAATAAAATCAATAAGATGATAGTGGTATCTCTGGTAAAGTGGCAGGATTCCTAAAGAAAAAATGGTGAATTAAATGTTCTATTATTTAATATTTTTAAATATAATATGTTGTATTGACTAAGAAATTTAAAGTCAAATTAATTAGATTAATTTAATGAATGAATGTATAAGTAAAAATAATGAAAAATAAATGAGAATTTTTAATACAAATTATAAATTTCATCATTATTTATATTATTTGAACTGAAATGGTTGAAATTTCATAGGTAAATGTATCATGGCATCATCTTCTGGAGCATTTGAAATAGAGTTTGCATCTTATAGAATTTCATTTTTTTTAAATTTATATTATCCAAAGCTGATCTCATTTGATGAAGATTTAAATAACAATGGATTGATTTATTTTTAGGTTTGAGTATAAAGTTATGATGTCTTGAATAGATTTGGCACAGTTCTACTACTTTATCTTTAGCTTTACTATGGTTCAGTTTATTCAGGTATATTAATTGATTGTCTTGAGTTATTTTCTCTAGTTTTTGGTTCTAAATCGTAGTTTCTTTTAATTTTTCTTTCAGATAATTGTTTTTGTAATGATTATCGATACGAATAGAATTGATTATCTTCTTTTTAAGTATTTGAAGTGATTTATGACTAATTATTAGAATCTTGTCCTGATACAGTTAACATACTAAGCATCATATTGTTGGAGACATATAAATCATGTTTCGAATTATTATTAGTTTCTGGAGGTTTTGAATTAATGGTGCTAAGTGATGAGTTTTTATGATGTTATGTTTCATTTGATTTGGAGTAAGTTCTTGAAACGCAATAAATCATAGTATATTTATTTATGATGAAAAAAATAAAATAATCATGAATATAAAAAATGTTATCTCACAATTAGTCTGTTCTATAATAGGGTTTTTTAAAGGAGAAAGGTTCCAATGATTTTGGTTTTATATTCGGTCTATCATCTGGTACTTAATCATAGTCTTAAACGATTGAAGATTCATCTGATAATCTAGTTGTATCGTCGTCTTCTTATTATTCTTCAAGTTATTCTTCAACCTATGATAACTAATGACTTGAAGATGATTAATCCTCATCTTCGCTTAATCGAATAATGTAATATCTTGGAGGAGCACTCTACATTCTTTTTTTAAATAATTCCAATTCTTAATCATCCTCATTGTCTTAGACTTCCTCTTCTTCTGAAAGGTCTTCTTTTTTAATAGTTTCTGTTTATTAGGTGGACCATAGATTTGTACGTTTCATATTGTTAGTATTCCATTTGGATCTTTATGATTGCATTCTGCAGCAATAAAATATCATTATAAATTATAATTAATATATTAATTTTAAATAAAAAGTTGATAATGGGTTTGATTAATAGTTTAATAATATTACAATAGTATCAATACATATCTCATTTATACAATATCAAGATTAGTGGATTCAATGTTTTTTAAATGAAAAAGCTCCAATATTGTGAATCTAGATATTGATTTCATCATTGGCAATAAGATCTAAATTATCAAAAGAACCATAAAATTAATTGACTTCTTCAATTTATTATTCTCTAACTGTTTTACCAGCTTGTTTACAGAAAGTAGTGAATTTTAATACTTAATTTTGAGACAAGACTGAAAAACTTTTAAGATCCTTTCTCTATTTCTTTACATTAATAAAAGGAGTATGGTTTTAATTGTCTCCATCATTTTCATCTTCTTCAATTTAACTAAGATCATAATTCATCAATCTAGTAGTTCCTGCACTTCCTCTACTTAAATACTGAATGATTAATGATATAATACCCCTCTGCTTTTTCTTTCAAGTCCAGATTACTTATCTGGAGATTAACTGTCTAGATCAGGCACATTTAGAAAGGATACCTGACTTTTCTGTTGAGTCTGTTAGATTATTTATAATGGATTTATTGATTATTATTATTATTATTATTATTATTATTATTATTATTATTATTATTTAGATTCTTGAATAATTGAATGTTCTTTAGTAATAGAAATCCTTGGTTTTTTATCATTTGGTCTTTTTTATGAATTAGATCTTCTTGATTTCTTAGATTTTAATTCAGGCAATTTCTCCCAATCAAAAGAGATATTGTCAATATACTCTAAATCACCTAATGCTTTTTAAAATTACTCTTTAATATATGTATAATTAGGTTATTCAGTATATTCTCTAGATTTAGCATGTTATAATAATAAATAATAGCACTTAGGTAGATTATCACATAATTTCTCATGAGAAATAGATTATTTTTATTCAAGTATTTTGCTATATTTTATTGATTTATCTTGAATAGGTAAATTCATCCATGGTAATTTCCCTTTATTCAGATAAATGAGTACATATGCCAAGGATTCCAAGTCATCTCTTCTTGATTACTCTCTACCTAAAATTACATTTAAGATTTCTCACCTAAATGTGCTCCAATACTTGCATATCTAGCAGTCCCTATTATACCTTTTTTCTCAATCATAGGAATATGATTTCCATGATTATCTTTATAATATTTTGACAAACCAAAATCAATTAAATAGACAACATCAATGTCTTACCATCCAATTACTATATTTTCTGGTTTCAAATCTCTATGAATCAAATTCTTTTAATGTAATTATTCTAATCTCTCTAATAATTGTAATCCTATCCTTAAACAATTTATTTGTGAGAACTTCTTGGTTTTTCTAATTAAGTACTCTAAATTCTAACCCAAGTAAGTAATCATGAAGAAATTGTAATTCTCATCTCTTCCGTAATGTAGAATCTATGGAAATCCTTCCATAATGCAATTTTATACCTGCAATCCCTTTCAATTCCAATAAAATCTTTATTTCCCTAACTAATAAACTCATATTATTTTTTGTTGATTCTCTTTTCTCAAATTTAGATGCACATATTTCACCTGTCTCTATATTTTCAGTCTTAAAAATTGATCCAAAACTACCTTGACCTACTTTCTCAATTAATTTAAATCTTCCTGCTATAATCTATCCTGGATATAGTAATTTCTATTAAAATTAATCTTATTAAGAAGAAGGATTATGAGTTTGATGTTTCTTTTCTTTTCGTACAGGTGATTTCATTATTATATATTAATATATTATATTAATTTCTTTATAATTAAATTTATTCACTTTCCACCCTTCAAATATTTTACTCAATTTAATAATAAACTTTCAATAAATAATCAAAAATCATATACCTTCATTTATTTATAAATGCTTAATAAATATAATATCTAAAACATTATTTTACAAGAAAATAATATAAAAATATTTAAATTATCAACCATTTTAGTTTTTATATAATAAACTTAAGGATAATTGAAATAGATTTAATATAATTAATAAACATCTTAAGAAAGATTATTATTATAGATTACCATTTTGGTACTAATTGTTAAAAATTAAGTTAAATAGAAATTACTTGAAATTTTTAAATGTACTTAATATAATTATTTCAATTATAGTTTTTAACCTTTCTTAATTCAAGATTACTTTATCTATAATAATCATAGAACTTATTTAAAATATATATATTATCAAATGATAAAATCAAATAATCATAAACAATTTTTTGAATATATAAAGCAATTATTTAAAGATAAAATCAACTATATTTATCATTTCCAAACAAAACATTCTCATCACAAGATATTAGAGAAATAAAGTACCATGAAATTCATAAGCATTCTATTTTTCATTCACTTTAGTTTATTGTATCTTTACTGTTCCTTCTTTATCAAAATTCAAGTTAATTTAAATATTTGTGAATCTACTCAATTTTATAGTTAATTGTTATTAAGTTAGTAACAAATACATATCCTTATTATACTCTTCAGATTTTTTAAATTTGAGAATTATACAAATTATTGTTAAATTTATAGAATATATATATGATTTTATTTGAAGAATATAAGCTTCTTCTACCATTATATGATTAATTATATTATATAACAATTCTGAATTGAGATATTAAAAACCTATGATGCAAGATATCCATTAATTTTATATAGTTTAATTAATTAATTAAATATCTCCGTGAGTTCTTGTATTACAATGATATAAGATTTGATATTGCTATAAATTAATCATTTGATAGCAAATGCAGATTAATTATTTAACAATTTTTCCTATATGAATTCTCATGTTTATCTGACAAAACACTAAATACATGAAATGTTCGTAGATTCCACCTAAGCTTTAGCATCACCTTCATTTGTTGAACCAAATTCTCCTTAAGCAAAGGAGGTATTTGATTTAAAAAAAAATTGAATAGAAAAGATATTTCTTCCATGAAGAAGTAGTAAGTCCATCAAAGAAGGATGATAAGTCAACTGATAACTATTCAAACAGAAAAATCAGTCAGGATTCCATTTTCGATTCAAAAGTAGAAATGAAATTAAGTAATTCTTGTTTCTTGACAGATTAGCTAATAATTAAATATGTCTTGTGAATTTATTTGAACAATAGAACAAGGATAAGGATAGAGAAACCATTACTAAATTACAGTAATAACTCTCCCAATAATCTTAATTGATTTTAAGTTTACAAAGTAAAGTTTTGACATAATTTAGATCAAATAAATATTTTGAAGGATTTGAATAAGAAAAATTAGAGCAATATCTCAGAACTATTAGGATAGATAAGAAAATTAGAATAGGAGAATCAATTTTTTTAAGATCAGCTATTGAAAAATAGGTTGAGTTTGTAAGATTAAATCAAATAACAATAATAAATAAAAATAGATATGGAAAATACAAAAATCTAACTATTAAATAAGGATTAAATGATTGAATCTCTTCATTAACAATTATAATCATTTCGTTAAGATCAAAGTAGATGCAGAGTTGGCAGAAGTCCCAATAGAATAATTGAATAAATAGTGAATTGCCATCATCCATCAATCTCGTATATTAATTATAGGATTGCTCCTTAAAGATCACATTCTAGTAATATCAAGAATTTTTGAATTAATCATTTATATGATTATTTTATATCAAATTTCACAATTTATAAAATTAAAGGGCTTTGGTGCTAGTCTTTTCTTCAACTTCATCAAAAATCTTTCTCTTTTGATGTCCAGAACTAGTAAACATACTTTTTGTATTATGGCCTTAATCTTCATGAAGACTCTTGCTTAAGTGATGATGATTGCAATGTCTAACACTGACACTTTACAATTTACAATACGATAATTTTTTGGGTATTTGAATATTTTGAGGTTTTTAGTTCTTTGACTATTTCTCTTTCAATATTTACTTATGTTTACATCATTTTATTTAACTCTGATATTTCTTATTCCAATTAATAAACATATTTTTATAGTTATACACATTATTAGCATTATTCAAGTTGATTATCATAAGGAATACTATCTTCTGAATTAATAAATGATTAATAAATAGTATCTTCTTTCTCATTCATCTTAAATAATTAAAATAATATTAAAATTTAACATAAAATATTATAATTCATTAAATTATTGAAAATATGTAAATTATTATAGTATTATAGTATTATATTTTTAATTGTTCATTTTAGATATAAATTATTTTTAAGAATTAAAGATGTTTTTATATTTATCAAAGAACAATAATATAATAGTAATTATTATATAGCTAAATCAAGCTTTGTATTTTGAATTTTGTTAATTTTCTCTTCTTTATTTAGCTAATATGTCTCTTATTTATTAATTTGTTTATTCTTTAAGAGTCTCTTCAGACTTAAACTTTTCTATACTATTGTCTATGCTTTTTTAAATTAGTTATTAATTATTATTGTTATCTTAAACCAAGTTTTTTTGAGCTAAAGTGGCAAATTTATTAGGTTATGGTTGATTTGTTTATGGATTCTAGGCTTTTAGATCTTTATTGATATTTTTGTAAGTGATAACAGTGTAATCAGGAATTACAAATCCTGTTTCATTTCCTACTTTATTGGATACTCTTTAGACTGTCCCTAAAGATGGAACATCCCAACCTATACTAAATTGATGATTGTTTTTGCAGTTATCTAAAAGAGAATATTTATATATATATATACTCCCAAAAACTTTGATTACATTCTTTTTCTGACCATCAAAAAAGATCATAGGTACTTAATGATATGGGTCTCGCGAAGACTACATATTGTGGTTATACTTACCATTTAATGATATAAATGAAATAAAAAATATTTGAAATACTTTTATCAGAACTCTTGTTGCTTGTAGTTGTAACAGGTTTGGTAAATAATATGATATATTTAAGAGATTAAGTAGTAATTAAACAATACTAGTACTTACCTGTTTGAATGTGTTTTTAACAATAATAATTGGATTTGTAAGAATTTACAATCTCTTATTGAACAAAGAATTAAATAGATGTTTTACTTTATTACTTTTATTACGTTTGATTCTAATTGTGTTTCAATATTCTGTATCTAATACACAATTATATTTGATACTAATTAACCATTTAGAAATGTAATATGAAATTAAGATTGCTCTTCTTTTGAATTATGGGTTATTAAGTATTTTACATGATGTTTAGAATTTAATTGAAACTCCACAGAATATTATATATTATATATACTGGTTCCTTGTTTTGTTACAAATGAAAATTAAGTTTTTTAAATCCAAGGAACCAAAACCTAAATTATTGTCTAATCCCTTGAAGTAAATACCAGATGCTCCACCTACATTTCAAGCAAAATCCCAAGAGTTGATTAAACAATAGGATGAACAATCCAAAGTATTGTCCTCATCAGAAATCAAGCCATTATAATTGAACAGTAATAATCTAAATGAAGATGACATTATAATGACAAATATGTACTAATGAGTACAAAAAAAATAAAAGGTCGTGGTTGTCAAATTAATCAGTGTTGATCTACAATGGCGATTTAAGTATCATCTATCAAACGTTTTATTTGGGCAAATTGTAAAAGAACATTGGAGATAAACTTGATTGTGAATTGTTATTTTTAGAATCTATTATTATTATTGGATGCAAGGAAATTAATGAATTATTAGGTTAATCTGGATATAGTGATTCCATTTTTAGTGAGTATAAATATATTACTTAAATTAGTGGATCATTTCTTTGCAACAATATTAATGAAGTTCATAAATGTAAGATCAAAGGTTAATTCACAATTAGAGAATTGATTACTTGTTTATTTAAAGATTTTGAAAAGTAATTCTATTTTATATATTTAGATGGAGATTCTTCACTTTAACAATATTTAAAGTGAAGAATGATTTCTTAGATTTAGATGGTATTCAAATTAAACTATTTATAACTAATATTGATGGACATAGATTCATACTTTTTAATCTTGAATAAGCTCCTGTTTTACCTAAAATCTATAATTCAGAACCAAATTCAATTCTATAGAATATTTACACTACCTATTCTCATGAATCTATTAATTATGTAAATTGCATTATGACTTATATATTACTACTTACTCATCATAATGATTTTCTAATGAGTGAAGGTAGTAATAAAACAACTATGGTAAAAACATTCATATAAATTATTATTAGTCTTTAAGTCGAAAGGAAAAAGAAGAATATATTTCTAATTCTTTATTGATTATGAGATATTATACATAGAGATATACATTATTTTTATATTCTATGAGGGATTACATATTCTATTTTTAAAATGAATTATTTTTTAAAATGAATGCAATACGAATTGAAGATTTATTAGATGATTTACTATAAACTTTTGATCCTTTATTAAAATTAAAATAAATCAAATTAACTACAAATATAGAACTATAAGATGGAAATACAATTATTTTTAGTGATCAAGATAGAGTATATATATCATTTTAATTTAAATAGATTAAATAGATTATTTCATGTTTATTGCATTATTGTTTATAATCATCATCTAAGAGTTCAATTAAATTTGATATTAAAAGTTATACACTACAAGGAATTATGATTACAATTAAAGATACTAAAGCTGATTTTGATGAAATAGCTAAACAAAAGATTATGAATTTAACTAAATAAGTAAATTAATAATTAAAGAGTCAAAAATCTGTAAATGAAATAGATTTATAAAATCCATTAGAATTATAAATGTGTATTATACTTTGTTGGTAATTATCTGGATCCTTTAAAAGAGGATTAGAATTTCTAATTGACAGTTAAGGTTTTTGTACATTCACATTTGTTATTGAGTCTCAAAATACTTAAATGAAATGTTAAAACTCAGATACTGGACCTATAAAAGTATTAGGCAAGAAAAAATACTTTGAAACATCATTATCACTCCTTTTATAAGACAATATTAATCAAGGAGGAGGTGGAGGTGAATCGAGACTGTTATCATTTACTTAATTATCTAAATAGTTTTCAATAAAACCAACAGATCCAATAGATTTATAAAGTGCCTATTTTTCACAACTATCAAAAATTAGATAAGAAACTTCTAATTCTAGAGTATTTCCTAATAGTGGAACAATACACAAACAATCTCGTGAACAAAGTGGAAGTTTTTCTGGAACCTATAAATAAGGAATTTAATAAGATAGCATTTAATAAATTACAAAACTTTTGAATAGGAATAATTTAAGTGTTGTAGGCAAAGTAGATTCTCCAGATGAATCATAAAGAACTTTCACTGCAATTGATTTTGGTGCAGCTGAATAAACTATTAATTAAATATCATTACCAGAATTTAACCCTAAATTACTTACTTAAGTCATTAAATATCGACTTAGGAATAATTGTTGTTCTAAAGTTTTGATATTAGATAATGACAGTTTTTAGATTATTGTTTTAGAGAAAGTATTATAGAAATATGATATCAAATGTGATTATGGATTCACTGGTTCTGAAGGATTAGATATAATCGAAATAAAGCGAGGTCGTCCATGTCATTGTGGAAATCGCTATTATTTACTGTACTTTATAGATATAAATCTTCCTGTAATTATTTTGTGATAGATTTAGGGATTGAGTGGTATTGAATTTGTCTAACGTATTAAGAAGAATATGTAATAAGGGAATTTAGATAAAGGATTTGCTATAGCTACAGCTACAATTGCAGGATTAAATTCTAAATTAGATTGTTTTCGCAATGGAATGGATTACTTTATATCAAAGCCATTTGATTTGATAGAAATAAGTGCTGCTGTTTAATATCTTGATTTTTGAATAAGTTTGTATGATAGGATAAAATTAATATAATTAATATAAAAATGAGAGGTCATCAAAAAAGTTTGCCAAATCTTAAATTTCTCTAGCCTTAATCAACTGCATTAATTACTCCATCTAATAGTTCTATTCGATAAAAATATTAAGAAAAACGAACTTATAGAAAATTCTAAAAAGATAATTCTCTTTAAATTGACAAGAATTAGACACCCACTCCAATAATGAATAATGTAGCTAAAGTGTTTAGACAGAATTTTATTTAGAAAACAGAACCTAATGAAACATCTGATAAACAAAATAGAATCATTGATAATCAAAAAATTATAAGTCAGAAGCCTCCTTCTTTCAAATTTCTCTATCGTCCAATTACAAAATAGAATTCTGAACTAATGTTAACTCCTAGAATAACATAAAATTTACCTGAAAACAATTATATCTATTATGTTTCTGACTTAATTAAAGCATATGAAAGTAAGGATAACTATTTCAATCGTCTTTTCTAAGATCATCTTTAATCAAGTTTAATGGCATTTAAATAATGCTCCACATCTAAAATTATATTTAAACCTAAACCTCTCATTTTACCAAAGGATCCTAAAGGTAAATATATAAATTTATAATAGATTCAAGAAAATATACATTATTATTAGATTTGGATGAAACACTTGTTCATTGTTCACTTGATGTTAGATTACCATGTGATAAAAAACTCAATATCAAATTATCCCCATCAGAAATCCTATAAGTTGGACTCACAATTCGTCCTGGATTACAAAATATGTTAGAAAACTTATAGCCTCATTTTGAGATTATCATTTTTACTGCTTCTCATGCTCAATATGCAAAAAAAGTGAAATTTCATATCTAATTATTAGATAGTAGAATACATTGATCCAAAAAAAATTATATCCTATGTTCTGTCCAGAGAGCATTGCTGTTTCACAAGTCTTGGACAATACATTAAAGATCTTTCTATAATTAAAAATCGATCTCTCTCTAAAATTATTTTAGTTGATAATTCTGCTTACAGTTATTATTATTAAATTGATAATGGAGTACCAATCATTCCATTCTATGACAATAAGTAAGATAAATAATTGAATCTACTGACCAAGTATTTAATTGGTCTCTTAGATTATTAAGATATAAGAGAATACAATTAGTATAATTATTCTTATTATTTCTATAGGAAATACTTAAAGACCTACTTATTGGATAAATTGGATTCTTTAGAATCAGTTATTGAAAATTATAAGGCCTAAATTAATTCCAAAAAAACATGAAAAGTCTTATAATACTAATTTGAATTTAAATTTTAATTGTAACAGCTAAATGACACCGGGATGCTATAATAATCACTTTTTTTATTATAATTATCAGATTCGTGATTATTATAAGCCGAACTAAGTTTCTAAAATATCCTATTTTAAATTTATTTTAAATGGGACCATACCTTAGTTAACCTAATAAAAACAAATCAACCACCAGTGGTGAAGGAAAGAGCATTATTTTTGCTGCTTCTGAAATGCAAGGTATAATTGATATATAATTTAAAAGGCTGGAGAAATACAATGGAAGATGCTCACATTCATGTATGTGACTTATAACCAGATCTTTCAATCTTTGGTGTCTTTGATGGCCATGGAGGCAAAGAAGTTGCCCTTTTCGTAGAGAGACACTTTATTGAAGAACTTCAAAAGAATAAAAATTTTAAAGATCAAAAGTTTGAAGATGCTCTTAGAGAGACTTTCTTAAAAATGGATGATCTCTTGCTTACTCCAGAAGGTCAAAAGGAAATTAATTCAATCAAAGGTGGAGATGATGATGGTAAATATTTATTAATAATTATTTAAACAGTTTCTTATGCAGGGTGCACTGCCAATGTTGCCCTATTTTATAAGAACACACTCTATGTTGCTAATGCAGGTGATTCCAGATCTGTATTATGCAGAGAAAACAAAAATTATGATATGAGTGTTGATCATAAACCTGACAATTATGAAGAAAAATAAAGAATTGAAAGAGCTGGTGGTTTTGTATCAGATGGAAGAGTTAATGGTAATTAATGTTTAAATATTCTTAGGAAATCTAAATTTATCTCGTGCTTTGGGAGATTTAGAATATAAGAGAGACAGCAAATTAAGAGCAAATGAATAATTGATCATTGCTCTACCAGATATCAAAAAGGTGGAATTAATTCCATAAGATAAGTAACTATTTTATTTCTATAATAGATTCCTTTTGATGGGATGTGATGGTGTATTTGAGACACTTGATCATGCAGATTTACTCAAGTTTATCAACTAAAAACTTGGTAACCAAGCAGTTACTCCATAATTGTTAGGAAGAGTAGCTGAAGATTTGTTAGATAATTTGATTGCTCCAGACACCTCAGGTACTATAAATAATTTATTTTAGTCGGAACTGGATGTGACAATATGACAACCTTAATCATTTATCTTAAAGGAAAATGAACAATATGATAATATATATTATATATATATTAATTCCTTTTTAATATGATTATTCTTTTCTTTGATCTAGAAGATATCAGATCATCTTAAATAAAAAATCAAATAATAATTATATTTTACTTCAAATTATATTATATTTTTAATTAGTATTTTTTGTTTTGTAATTAATTTTGTTTTAATATTGTAAAAATAAATAGTTTTGTTAATATTTATCTAATAATATTTATCTGAAAATAGAAAATATTGGTTATGTTCAGATTAAAGAATTACAATTTTCTCAATATTCAACTAAATTCATTATTAATTTCAGTAAAATAACATTGATAAATTAGAATTACATTTAATAAATTGTCATTGAAAGGTGATTTCATAATAAAGGATTAATATATAAGCTCATTATCTTTAATCTCAGAAGTAGGAATAATAAATTATCTTATTGACAAAACAATAATTTGATTAAAAATAAGGTTCAGTTAAAGATAATATTTCAACTGTTCTAGGAGGATTCTAAGCTAAGAAAAACTTTAAGAAAATATAATATTTTACCTAAATGCATATCTAGATAGTCCATTGTTGAAAGAATCTTAAGTCATCTATAGTGATCTTTGCCCTGATCTACTTTAGGGGAACAAGTAAATGATATGGGTGGCTATTTAAAAAATAAAATATTAATTAAATTCATTATTATTATTTAAATTTAACTTAAATTTTAGAAGAAAATTTTGTGCAAATTTAATATTAAATAATAATGTTCTTTATCTAAATAAAAAAACTTGGATTTCGAACAAAAAGACTAAGCGGAATAACATACACAAAAAGATCATTAGTCTTTTTTTTAAGTCAAAGGCAAATATGAAAAGATTAATAGATAGTTCTTATTGTATTTTTCTAAAAGATATCTCTATTTTCGATTAAAAAAACTTATCGGTTTAACTGTTTTATTTTTTTTTGAATAAAATATATATATCTTTTTCATTTAAAATAAATGATTAAAATTGTCATATTATCACATCCAGTTCCGGCTACAATATACTAATATAAGTACCTGAAAGATCTGGAGCAATTAAAGCATCTAGCAAATCTTCAGCTACTTTTCCTAAAAATTAAGGAGTAACTATTTGATCTTCTAGTTTTTAATTAATAAATTTAAGTAAATCCGAATGATCAAGAGTCTCAAAAATACCATCGCATCCCATCAAAAGAAATCTATATTAGCTGTAACTAATACTTATCTTTCTGAGTTAATTCCACCTTTTTAATATCTGGTAGTGCAATGATCAATTATTCATTTAAACTTAAATTGGTGTCACTCTTAAACTAAAAATCTCCCAAAGAACGGGATAGATTTAGACTTCCTGACAATATTTAAAAATTAATTACCATTGATTCTTCCATCAGATACATAACCACCAGCTTTTTGAATTCTTAATTTTTCTTAATAATTATTAGGTATATGATCAAAACTCATATCATAATTTGTATTTTCTCTGCATAATACAGATCTAGAATCACCTACATTAGCAACATAAAGTGTATTCTTATAAAATAGGGCAACATTGGCAGTAGTCCCTGCAAAATTGACTAATTATATGGGTTATTAATTTTAATTACTGCTTTCATTTTTATCTTTCATTTCATTAATTTCATTTTGACCTTCTGGACTAATCAAGAGCTCATCCATTTTTAAGAAAGTCTCTATAAGAGCATCTTCAAATTTATGATCTTTAAAATTTTTATTCTTTTCAAGTTCTTCAATAAAATGTTTCTAAACAAATCGAGCAAAAACATTGCCTCCATGGCCATCAAAGACACCAAAGAGAGAAATATCCGGTGCAAAGTCACATACATGAATATGAACGTCTTCCATATCTCCTTTCCAACCTATATCCTTAAATAAATGATTTACCTTGCATTGCTGAAGATGCATATATAAAGTATTTGGTTTCATCAACACAAGTATTTTTACTTCGATCAGGAGGAATCAGGATTTTGGCACCCATTAAAATATTTTTAAATTAGGATTTATTAGATCTTAAATGTTATTATAATAATCACGAATTCTATAATTATAATAAAAGACTTGATTATTATAACATACTGATGTCAATTAGCTGTTAATATTAAATTTTAAATTCAATTATAATATAGCATTTTTCAAATTATATTTTGATTATTTGAAAACTTCTACAAATAATATGAGTCTAATAACAAAATGAAGTATTATTTTGAATTATGTCACAACATATTGTGATAAAGAATATACATTGTTTTTATTAAATTTAATGTGATTTTTTTACGTAGTATTTAGAAAATTACCACATATTTCTATAATATATGGATTTGTATCTCTTTTTTGTAAAATTATAAAATTATTATTATGTAAATTGAAATCTATAGGTAAAAATTTAATAATTGTGAATCTTATTTTAGTTTAAGGATAAAGTATTGTTTAAAAATAATAAACTTCAACTATTTTAGGAAGATGAATTGTAACATTTTATTGAAGAACTTGAAAAGAATAAAAATTTTAAAGATCATAAATTTGAAGATGCTCTTATAGAGACTTTCTTAAAAATGGATGAGCTCTTGATTAGTCCAGAAGGTCAAAATGAAATTAATGAAATGAAAGATAAAAATGAAAGCNATATCTGGTAGTGCAATGATCAATTATTCATTTAAACTTAAATTGGTGTCACTCTTAAACTAAAAATCTCCCAAAGAACGGGATAGATTTAGACTTCCTGACAATATTTAAAAATTAATTACCATTGATTCTTCCATCAGATACATAACCACCAGCTTTTTGAATTCTTAATTTTTCTTAATAATTATTAGGTATATGATCAAAACTCATATCATAATTTGTATTTTCTCTGCATAATACAGATCTAGAATCACCTACATTAGCAACATAAAGTGTATTCTTATAAAATAGGGCAACATTGGCAGTAGTCCCTGCAAAATTGACTAATTATATGGGTTATTAATTTTAATTACTGCTTTCATTTTTATCTTTCATTTCATTAATTTCATTTTGACCTTCTGGACTAATCAAGAGCTCATCCATTTTTAAGAAAGTCTCTATAAGAGCATCTTCAAATTTATGATCTTTAAAATTTTTATTCTTTTCAAGTTCTTCAATAAAATGTTTCTAAACAAATCGAGCAAAAACATTGCCTCCATGGCCATCAAAGACACCAAAGAGAGAAATATCCGGTGCAAAGTCACATACATGAATATGAACGTCTTCCATATCTCCTTTCCAACCTATATCCTTAAATAAATGATTTACCTTGCATTGCTGAAGATGCATATATAAAGTATTTGGTTTCATCAACACAAGTATTTTTACTTCGATCAGGAGGAATCAGGATTTTGGCACCCATTAAAATATTTTTAAATTAGGATTTATTAGATCTTAAATGTTATTATAATAATCACGAATTCTATAATTATAATAAAAGACTTGATTATTATAACATACTGATGTCAATTAGCTGTTAATATTAAATTTTAAATTCAATTATAATATAGCATTTTTCAAATTATATTTTGATTATTTGAAAACTTCTACAAATAATATGAGTCTAATAACAAAATGAAGTATTATTTTGAATTATGTCACAACATATTGTGATAAAGAATATACATTGTTTTTATTAAATTTAATGTGATTTTTTTACGTAGTATTTAGAAAATTACCACATATTTCTATAATATATGGATTTGTATCTCTTTTTTGTAAAATTATAAAATTATTATTATGTAAATTGAAATCTATAGGTAAAAATTTAATAATTGTGAATCTTATTTTAGTTTAAGGATAAAGTATTGTTTAAAAATAATAAACTTCAACTATTTTAGGAAGATGAATTGTAACATTTTATTGAAGAACTTGAAAAGAATAAAAATTTTAAAGATCATAAATTTGAAGATGCTCTTATAGAGACTTTCTTAAAAATGGATGAGCTCTTGATTAGTCCAGAAGGTCAAAATGAAATTAATGAAATGAAAGATAAAAATGAAAGCAGTAATTAAAATTAATAACCCATATAATTAGTCAATTTTGCAGGGACTACTGCCAATGTTGCCCTATTTTATAAGAATACACTTTATGTTGCTAATGT